TTGCTATTGCTATTGCTATTGCTTTCCCCATTGTCATCATCAAGATAAAGCACCACAATCCATGTCCACCTGAAATGCAGAAATAAGTGAAGAATCCCATTATATTGATGAGTGCTTTTTGGGAACATCTGTTGGACAAAGCCAGGTTGGCTTCTGTAATGCAATACTGGAGTAGATCCATATGCAACCTTTTTAAAAATAAAAAAATAAAAAATATTTTTTTTAAAAAATATGTCATAATATCTGTGGGAGAATATATTTGATTGCCACAATATTAAAAAAGATGTTGAGACTATAGAAACAGTGCAGCGACGAGCAACAATGATGATAAAGCCCTTTAAGTTAAAACATATGAAGAAAGGTTGCAGGAATTGGGTATGTCTAGTTTAATGAAAAGAAGGACTAGGGGTCATATGATAGCAGTGTTTCAATATTAAATGGGCTGACCCACAAAGAATATGGGTCAACCCATTTTCCAAAGCATCCAAAGGCATTACAAGAAGCAATGTGTGGAAACTGATACTGGAGAAAAACAATCTAGAACTAAGAAGAAATTAATCAGTTGTGGGTGATCTGTTACTAGAAGTTTCCAAGAAGAGATTAGACAACCATTTGTCTGAAATGGTATAGGGTTTCCTGTTGTGAGTCAGCAGCAGTCTTCTGTGAGTCTTTTCGGGATGCAAGTTTCACAATGCAGCTGGGGCTCGTTAGTGGGTCTTTGGGTGATAAAACGACAGATGGTGCCACGCCCTAGTTGCAGGAGTCAACGTTCCTTGGTTTGTACAACATTGCTTGATCATCAGTCATGGTTTATGTAAGATACACTTGGATAAGTGCTTTGTGTTTTTTGTAACCCTGATTCAAGGATACACTGGGAGAAGTGCATTGCATTGTAAGAGTTTTTGTTTGGTATTGTGTTATCTGGTCAGAGACTGTATTTATGTTATTTTTGGGCTCGCAGCCAGTTTGAGCCAAGAACTGATAAAGACAGTTCCTTTTAAGTTTGTCTGCCTGCCGTTTGTTAACGAGCCGAGAAGGGGGGACAGAACAGTTTCCTACATGAATAGGAGGTGGTTTAGGAGACCTCCAAGGGCCCTGGCAACTTTGTCATTCTTTTCTGTTCTGTTAGAAACCAAACCAAACTTGTCTTCAAGTTGTGAAAGATAATCCTTAAGATGATGCACGACAATATAAAATCTAAACACACTATTATCCCATATTAGCTGCTAGAAACTAAGTGTCTTCTAAATCAAATTATGAAAAGTCAAGGATAAAAATCTATTATTCTTAATTTTGGAATATTTTGGATATAGCTTCTGCAAAAAAATGGTGGACATGATGCAAATCTTGATCACAGGAATAATATTGTAATCTCTATAATTTGAGGAATTCTGATGCTCAGATATGAAGAATAAAAGTCAACCTGTAGTCTCAACTCTACAAAAAAAAGTCACAGAGTTTTCCTCTTATTTTAATCATGACAATAAGGGAAACATCGGAGGTATAGAGGTTCCTTACCTGCGGGATCTTGTAGAGACCAAGGATGGTGGCCATATGGAGGCAGACATTTGAATTAGGTCCCCCAATGACTGCAACTGCATTGCTTCTAGTATCACACTTGTAGTTTGGAATGAACCTCTTCTGGGTGGAGAGAAGCTCCATTGAGGCAAGGTAAGTCCAGCTTGCACTAAAATGGCTGTTATAGATCTGGAAGCTCAGAGTGATGTTTGACAAAATATGTGGATTTTCATTGATTTCTTTTACAGCAAATACCAGTGCCAGAATATGCTGGTAATG